TAGTAAACTATTTGAAAATCATCAACACGATTTAAGGCATGGGAAGGAGCGAACATCGTTCCAATGCGTTCGGCAATCTCGGAAAGCCGAGCTACGTCAAAAAGGTGGATACTAAATCTACCTACCCACACGCATATTATAATTATGAATAAAATTATTCACCTGTAATCGTGCCAGAGGGAACACCGCGCGGTCACAGGATGGTGCACGATCGAATGAAGTGTCTCCGAGGGAGCGTATGCTACCATGTATGTCGATAACACGTAAGCGACGCCCGTCGGTCACTGAACGTATCAGTACCCATCAACACGCCGATTGAAGGTGCAGCATGACGGCTAGGATATCTTAAAGGTTCGACAACATACCATACAAGTTCCCTTGCGCATCGAAAGAAAGGCCCTTTGGGAAGAACAACTGTGCATCAGTGGCTGGTCCACCATCACCGCATGAATCGGCTGCTGCAGGACATGCCGTTCCATCTCCAGCCAATACCTACATCAAGCAAGAGATACAAGTAGTAGTGCCGGAGGGTAACAAATCTATCCTTAAACAGTTTACCTCATGATTTGCAGTTGGATCCAGCGGAAAATGACTGACAACTCTCCAGATCTGTTTGTGAAGAGGAAGAGAGATTACCAGAAATCCATCTACTGGACTGACAGCCAAGTAGTAAGGATACGAAGTGTCAGGAAGACTGGAAGCGAATAATATCGCGTTCGAATTGCGGTGATCCTAGTATCTCCAACAGAAAAAAGCATAATGAAACCCCAAACGTACCTCAACGACAATACAGTGGTGATTTGCCCATCAGGGCCAACACGTCTTACATGGTTATGGTCACCAATGAAAACACACCCATCCAAGCCGTGTGCCAGTGCCGATGGACGAAAGAGGTCGGCCTGAAAACGAATTCTGAGAATGGTACTTGTTACTTTCCAAATACTCCACATCTTTTCGCGGAAGTAAGATTAGTAACCAATCTAAACCCCTCAAAAACCGTTGGAACCTTCCCCTGCAGGTCTTCAGCAAACGTTCTTCTTACTTCTTATATTGTCTTTACTATTCCTTGTGAGGCCATTGGCATTTGTTGTTATTTGCATAAAAATATTGCTTTACCGAAAATTGATCCTACTAATAAGAATAACAAAGCGGAGGAGCTCTATACAATGCAACCAGTCGTGCAAATTTACAATTTCGCGCTAGAGAAAGCAAACAGAAGAGATCTGGTTTCGACTTATTCGGATGATTGTCGTCTTCTTCGGAACTCGGAAGTTAAGCGGTAAAAGAACAACAATCGAAGAAAACCTTAATAGGCTTGCAATTCTGAGATGGGAGCTACTACTGTGAGCTTACCTCCGCTACAGGACCGTTACAATTCTGACATTCGAGCTGGCGACGCTTGCCGGATCCAGCGAATAACTCTACCATGGGCACTGAGTTTGCTATGAATCGTCGACCACCGTTACCCATTTCCAGTACACCTTAACAGCAGAAGGAAAATTCCATTAACGAAGCAAGCAATTTTCCAGAGTGAGCGGTGTTACCATTCACGACATCCAAGTGATGGTGAATGTCCACACTCCAAGCTCCGCCTTCAAGGCGACGTGCACGTGCGCCTTCCATGAACACTCGACGGCTGATCCATGATACCTCGGACGGTCGACCACAGCCTCGATATTCATACCCGATTTTCACTGAAAACATCCTCATGCATGGAAAATTTGTAAAATAGCATATCTCATTGAAAACCCTGGCCACTCGATAGTATGGGCTATGTCTAGCAGTCCAAAACGATAAAATTACCGTCGGCTGGGATCATTCCATGATCACTTTGGCGATACACGTTCAACTTGTCCCAGGACCATACGTACGTCAAGTTTTCACGAGGTGCTAGGCTAAAAATGAAGAAATCAGTGAAACCAACATACATATATTCACAAGTTGGAAAAAAAAACAATTGTACGCCTCCATGAGAATGCATATGAGAATTATATTCTATTTACTACAACTTTGTTTTGCTTACTTCTCTACAAAACACCCGGTCCAGAATGGAACTCCACCCAGCTCCAGTTTGTCCCAAACTTAGGTGCGAGTTCCAATCCAACAAGACCAAAATTTTTCGCAATGCAGCGCCCCTATGTCATGGCTCACCGTTTTATTGAGAATCACTGGGAGGTTTAACAATTGCTTTATTTGAGTATTTTACAACTTTGAGCACTAACACTAATCGCCCACCTCTTGAGGTAAAAAGAAACGGTATTCAACTTTGTGATTTTGCATTATCAGCTATGGAAAAAAAACCCTGCGATTCCCGAAATCCCGAAAACGGGAGCATAGAAACTACATAGAAGAGCGTTCGCCTGTGTTACGACAAGGTTCAAACTCATAAACTAATACAACTTACAACAACTCGTCCCTCAAAAACTTACTAAAACATAGATGTAACAATAAATAAGAAACGAGGCATTTATACCTCTTCTCAAATGTCCTTCCTGATATTTTCACTATCACATGGACGAGACGAAGATCAGGATCGACATTGTTCGGCAGAAGCCCCAAGACCAGCGTAGACTGCGATGCTGTTACTCTTGATGAGTCGTAAACCAAGCGTAGAGATGAACCGGGGAGTGGAAGGCTGGAATGGTCATCTATGTTAATAATTTAGTAATTACGTGTTTCAGATGTCTTTTCAGTAATCTGTATTGACTGTAAGCTCATAGAGCAAGAGTGAATACAACAACCCACCTCTGAACGATACTTCGTGTATCGACCAACAATGTTGGTGCAATCGACGAAGACGGTATTCCATCTGTAGAAACGGCCCACTCTGGGCGAAGTATAGGTACCGGCAATACTCGATTAGCGACGGAACACTCTGGACGAGCACTAAGTTCGCGTTGCTGAAGAGCACGGGATTGTGAATCAAATTCTACCGAAAGAAGCATTCACAATTGAGCTAGGCTTGAAGCCCGTTAGAATTAGAATGGCCGCAACTTCTTAGTGACCTTTATTGTAACAGATATCTCTGCCATCTCGACATGACAGTGACTGAAAGGGCTGATTAAATATCACCATAGGGTTTGAACCCCGATCATTCCTGTGGTAGTGGTTCTCACGCACTATCTCACGTCGGCCTATGATAGTAAAGGAATGAAAAACATCTTCAATATCCTTTTCATTTTCGATGCATGACTATGTAACTGAACCCATACTGAAATCGCAGAATGCCTCGAAATCGTAAACTCCATACTTCAGAAATGATGGGGTCCCTTCTAGGAAAGTCTAGGTATACCCGAATCAATGAAGGCGCTTTGTAATTAATTAATCATTTACCTATATTAAAAAATCCCAGCTGCTCCCTGCTGACCTCAAATTTGTCACAATCACCGTCCCTAATCGCATTCGCGGTTACTAATCTGTCTTATCGGACATGGATCACGGACAATTCCTGTTTCCGGTGCCCGACTACAGTGCCAACACCAACAATTTTCGACGGTTCCTGCGCGCTAATTAGTCTTCGGCCGGCTGGCGGCCAACCCTTTGATAACTTGCGATAAAGATGGGTTCTATTGAGAGGCAAGTAGAGCTCAAGGTCGGAAGGTTGGCCTTATTCGTAGGTCCACAAACCTTTACGCAGTGGTACGACTTCAACCAGAACCTTTCACTTCGAAACTCTTTGTGATGGCTTGAATGTGGCAATCCACACATTCTGTACAGATTCGTGAAGAAAGAAAGAAACACTCACTCGTTCCCGTGCCATTTTGATCGGTTCGACGACGACAATCTCATTTGGGGGTACATAGACGCTTCGTTTGAGCCGCTGGAAGAAAAGCAGCATCAGTCTCGAGATTGATGAAGTTGCTGTCATGCTACCCAATACTGTCAATTTGCACCGTAATCCCACAGTAATCTCATTCCCACTCGCGATTATTTGCTGCTTGACAGTCACGTAAATTGCACGCGGCGAGGCATAATAACGAACTGCGATGTACTGTAATACAGTTTCAAGCAAATAATGTCAATTTAAACGACCGATCCGCAGCCCAGCTATCCCCAAGAACTATCCATAGCTATGACACGCTCATGATAATAAACTAGCATCAGGACCGAATAGTTTCTTTTGGAAAGGACAAACTTCTGGCTCACTTGAAAAGGACTTCTCAAAAACTGCAGGTTCACTGTACGGCCACCGTTGACTAGTAAATCAAATTCACCATCGAGCCTGGTGAGGGTGAAGCCATATAGGGGATTCGCTGCATCCGACACCTAAATAAAATGAGTATTAACCGGAACTCGGAAAATTTTGGGACAGTCAATTCATTTTTTTCAATATTTGTGGTGGGTCCAAATATATTAGCACCGTACCCTCACTCCTGGCAGTGCTACCGTACTTTTACTGTCACCATTCGCTCCTCCATTCCAAACGACACGACCACGAATAACCGATATCATGCTGGAAATAATTTAGTTTGAACTAGAAATTCATACGACAACTGGCTTGATCTCCTGGAACAATCAAATCCAATCAGGGATGCTATCACACTCCCTAGCTCAATAATGGCTCCTTAAATTCTCTTTCACCTATCCAATACACTAAGTAAGGCAGGTAAGGGTAAGTTATCGCAACTAGCTCATAAATGGAGATCTAAAGCGATTTCTATTCAATCCTCAACTTAAATTAATTCAATATTTGCTTATGGGACAGCTGGGCTCCAGTGAGCATTATTTGTCCCTATGGATGTTATTGTTGCTTCGCTTCTCGTCACTTCCAGCAACTCTGCGATGCAAATTCGACATTCCCCAATCGGATCAACGCCACCACACAACATCCAGTAAAGACCTCATCAATGAGGCTGAAAAATCGTGGCAATCCTTTCATTAGAATACGATCACATACTTTAACTATTTGTTTGTCAGCAGGATTTCAAATAATGTATAGAAATTAAGAGAAGTCTCCTGCTTCTGAAGAGCTTCTTGAAAGAAAAAATAGATAGCGAGGACATCATGACGGGAAAATTTCACTCAGGACTGGAAAAACGTCCCTGAGACTATTTCGAGCAAGGCTTTCAGCTTTGTTCATGATTTATTATGTTTAGCGAGTGTGGTTCAACTTGCGCAGGTATTGAATTTACAAGGTTTCACAAGAATGAAGCGTTATGGACTAGCTCTCTTACCTCTCATTAAACTGCGATTTATCCGAGTAACTTTGCACGGAGTCGTTTCGAATGATGAACGAGACGCGCTGAAAAAGCATCACTACAAAAAAGAGAAAGACTGAGCATGAATCTCAAAAAAACTAGTGGAAAATTTGGTGAGACACCCTTCGATCAATTATAGAAGTTTACAAATTTAATGGTCACATAGCCTCTTGAGTAAAGATGGACCACCTTAAAAGAAAACAGCTGCATGAACAAATTTCGCTTGACTTACCCTATTCGTGCCGACCAACGAACCGATCTACAAGCATTTGATGATCAAGCAAATCCTTTAGGCTCACCTGGAAGAAGTTGGCGTTTTGAACGGCTGGTAGCCGTAGCAACACATCCACAGGGGTTGGTACAGCTGCACAGACAGCTTCTCGTGAGCATTCCGTTGACGAGCAGCACTCCGGATCATCGCAGTCAATCAAGCCATCTGTAATGGCGTGACCAGAGTTGTATTTCAGATTTTTTTTGATTGATTATCCAGCACAAATTCTCCCTCCATTACAGTCTGAACCAATAGGACCGGGCAAAACTTCATAAATCAGCAGAGCTTCCGCTATGGTTCCGGTTTTCTATATCATCGTGAGCGGAAGTAAACAGTTGTAAGAATGTGAACCACTTTTGAAAGTTTTTCGAAAATACTCTACAATGTGCAATGGAGTCCCAGCAAGAACACTAACCATTGTCATTATCGAGCCCATCCTGGCAATCTGTTTCCACCGGAACAGCGCAATCGTCACCGATGAAAGACGGCTGGCAATCGCATCGCCATCCATCACCGTCTCCGCCTGGTAACAACCCCCAACGACATTCGCCATGCCCAGAACACGATAATGGACAACCTTCTGTAAAATCAGACATTGAATCGAAATTATCCATATATGAAGTTATCGAGAAGAGCTGGTATTGCAATCATTTATATCTTCTCGGATCACTTGATCCAAGAAGACAACTCAACGATTCTTTTTAATTTCAGTACAACTTTTCCTGTGCATGGATGGATGAACCCTTCTGGTGACATAGTTACACCTCTCCTAAAACTATGCCAGTGCTGGTTCACAATAATGTTATTAGTAAGGGGGCAGTTTTTTTTTGTGAGAATGGGTGAAGAAATACTTGAGATGTCATGGCCAGCCGAGGGTATAAAGACTAACTTTGTAACTCCTCAGTATGGGTTGGGGAACAAAAGGGTAACTCAAAACACAGTGCCCAAAATAAGAAAAGAATCTGTATGAAGCCAGCATTGTAGAAAGTCCCTATCGCCACATCCTGCCTCTCTCAGTCATCGACACTGACAAAACATTGACAAAGATCTCAAATCGAAAAAAAAACTCTCTATTTCAGTGGGTGCATATGCAATGAGCCGAACTGTAGTCGATGGATTGATTATCTCAGTCGAACTTCAGATGGGAGAAGGCATTGGCAATGATAAGGAGATAGGGAAATGAAAACATACTCAACTGTCCTGTCAATTATGTACATTGCACTAGACGGAATCTGCTGACTAGAGAGGTATCAGATACACCTGGCAATCCAATATACTCTGACAACAAAGAAGTAGACCCACCTATATGACAATTTCCTCCGTTCCATCCCTTGTCACACAAGCATGTGCCGTTCTTCATGCACTTACCATGATCCAGACAACCTGGAATAAGTAAACTTATATTCGGAATGATTATTTACAATCTGTCAAGGTAACAAATGACATGAACTTGGTTTTGCAGATCAGCTCCAGGTGAGTGGAAAAAGCTTGGTTGGCTAGAAACTCCTTCACATAACAGAGCTGCATACGGTTCCTATCGTTAGGTTGTTATCATTCGCATAATTGTCTACTGATTTTACTTCTGTGTGCCGTCTGTCAATTGCATATACCATCGACATCCGGTAAACATAATACAAAACATTTCAAAACTGGATCGAGGGCTGTCGGTGGCCAGTTTGTAGTTGAGGACAGGAAGCGTACGAGACGAAGTAATGCAAGCGGTAAGCAACCACATGAGTACTGCTCGTCGTAGAGCCGAGTTGAGAATATAGGAAGAAAAAGGCAACATGTCTTAATAAAACCAATGTTAACACAGCCAATTGAAACCTCCATCACTCAGGGTTCAGTAAATTATGGTAAGATTCGTGGGGAAGACTGAAAAATTCCGGTTGAGCCTGACATATGGCAATACAGGGGGAAAACGTAGTGAAAGGCTAGCTCGACCCTGAATTCATATGAGGATATATCCGGATTTCGGAGGAAACCAACAGTGCTTTATTTAAAGTCAATGGCTGGGCGAACGGCTAGTAAGAGATAATGCTAAATCCCATGAAAAAATTCATGAGAGTAAAAACTAGATAAAACCATGGGTTGGTTGAGACTCAAAAACCCATATATCGTTCAGGCCGAGCTATTCACACCCTGTTGATATTCCTTCGGTTTTTAGGAAAGAAAGAGGCAAGGTTTCATGCAAACCCCAATTCAGAATCAGTACTTTATTTTTTTTTCAAAAAAAAAAATCCCTAAAGGTAGCGGATCTCATACCTATGGCGCAATCCGCGTGATCACAAAGATTGCCAACCCAGCCAGCTTCACATATACACAGGCCACCCCTGCACAGACCATGTTCGCATGGTGGACACACCTCTGAAATTCCATCCCAATCAATAATTTCACTAATAACTGAGTGGAAATAATAGGAGTACCTTTTTCACAGTCCTTCCCTTCCCATCCACGATCGCACCGGCAAGTATCAACCACATATTTACCATGGTCATTACATTTCGGTGGTTGCAATATCATCTAAAGAGAAACCACTGAAATTTTTCCGATCAATTACCGATTTAAGTGCCATGTCAGTAATAGCGAAATGTTGATTGAACTTTAACTCTGATCAAAGTAATTGTAGTAAGTGAAAAAAGACTGGAGTTCCACAGGATTTTCATATCAACAGCGCAGTTGTAACTGATTGAAAATAAAACGATAATTGTCACATTTCCAAGATTTAATTTTTTTTTGTAACATAACTAGGTTTTGTTCTGATTATGATGATATTCATGATGATAATTTTGTAGAAACTTACTTTACTAGGTTTCGGCAACTTTTGCCTCTCTAATTCTCGACTGATTTGTCTAGGTTTTTCACTCGGAGATGGCAATACTTCAACCATTGGTACCAAGGCAGCGACTACAGTAGCAGGTACGGTAGCTACGGTCGGTTCCATAACTTGCTGAACAATGTTTCACTAGCGGATTCATGAACGGAAGCTTAGTGAGAATGTTACCTCAGCACATTCCTTTCCCCGCCATCCGTCAGCACAGTAGCACTGGCCATTCACACATACTCCATGGTCCGAACAAGTTGGATGGGAACATGCTCGCTGAAACTACCTTTGCATTATGAAGCTGTAGGCCGATGTATCCCGTCGGAAATCAATTCCATCGAGACTTAAATCTACAGGAAAACTCTAGGACCTAAGGAAAACCTGAAAGTTCCTGCCACAAGGGAAAATGGGATTATTTCGACAATGTTTCAGTTGACGCCACCACAAGTTTGAAAAAATAAATCGAACATAGTCATTGATTCGTACCAATTCACAGCCCTCTCCGGTCCAACCCTTCTCACACTGACATACACCCTCGTCTCCACATCGTCCATGACCGCTGCAGTCTGGGATTTCACACCAATGAGCATGAACATCGCATTCCTACAGTATGCAAATTTAGATATAGATTTACATGAACCCTACGAACTCACCTTCCCTTTGAATCCAGTCCGGCATACACATGCGCCACCAGAGAACACTCCGTTACCACTGCAGACTACCGGGCAAACAGCTGAAAGAAAGGCTATTTACGAACTTCTAAATTCTCATTAAAAAAAGAACCAGTCGATATAAATCAGTTTGTTTGTCTGACTTAACCGGAAATTTACTTGAAAAAAAGAGGCAAAACTCGGAAAAAATGAATATCAGCTGATTCTACAAGCATTAAGAAAATTCGTCCAAATCAATACTCACACTCTTCACAAGCCTCTCCCATAAATCCTGGAGCACATTTACATCGCCCACTAGAAAGGCATTCACCGTGACCGTTACAATCAGCATCACATCGAACCGCTAATGGGTTCGTACCGTCTGCGGATGAGGACGCCGGGGTGGCGATTGAGTATGCCAAGAAGTTGATTGGTTCCACCTGAAAAAGGCAGATTAAAATAAAATCAGATTAGCTCTGATAAGTTGAAACTGTAAGAAAAAATTTTGAAAAATTTCATTCGAAACTCGAAATGATTTTAAATTTGACCGAAAATTGTATTTGATACTTGAAATGATTTTGAATTTGTTACCAAAAATTGCTTTAATTGTCTATAAAATTAAACGCATTGTCAGGTTCCATTCAAAAAGATCAGTTTCAGTTCTCAGTTTATCAGTGAATAGGACCGAATTACTGACTTTCCACGCTCCTAAAAAATTGTTTGGAAAGAGTTTGCATTTCGGAGTTATTGGTTGGATCGTAGGTAAAAATGCCCGCGGAGATACACGCTATGATTTGTAGAATAGGCCGTGTCCATGCGACTTGTAGGGATTCACAATTGATGCATTTATGTATTAAGGGAGGAGATGCTTCCACTATTTTCT